CAATATCTCTCTACATGACAAATATCTCGAGGAATATCACAAATAATGTATTTGTTCTTTTGTTTACGTTTGGATACATTATTCTTTGTTTACTTATAATATTTTTTAGAAATATTTTGATATGAAAATAATTATTAAAAATATATTTTTTCCTTTTGTTTTATTTCCAAATTCATACTTTATAAAAATGAGCAAAAACATATTTTTACATGTCGCATTTGCGTAAGAGGTCGATAACGACCCATGTATGCATGGCTACTATTAATGAGGTAATTATTTTTAAAATATTTTTTCCACATAATTTGAATCATTCAAACTCAACATATATCAAAATAAACTATATATTTAGAAAAAATATTTCTAAGCGTAAATAAGTTAATAATCATTTTTAAATTTTTCGTATAATTTTTGACAATTTTTTTTCTTTTTGTCTGTGTCCGTTTTTTTTGCAAAAAAAATAAAACATCTTAATGGGTATTTTTTATGGCTTTAATACAGTCTCAAAAACTGTCTAATACAATAACATTAAACCAGAACACCACTTACAGAAAGTACCGCTAATGAAATTTTAAATAGGAGCAGAGCTACTAAAAATGTTCAAAATGACTGAAACCCTGAAACCTTACAAAAGACGCAACTCTTAGCCTCATTGATTGTTATCACCGTACAAGTATTCCAGGTAGATTTCCTTATCTACTTATGTAAAAGTGGTTTAAGTTAAATTGGCTGAATATTTGCAGATGAGTAGCTTTGGTCAAGCTCTTTGTGCCACAAGACTTAGAAATCAAGTGTTTTTGAGTTAAAGAGCTTCAAACTGTCGGTTTTTAGTTCATGTTTTAAAATATTGAATTTGGAAACAGAGATACTAAAATTCCACGTAGATATCTTATCTAGGACATTTCACTTTGTTTTTGACATGAAAACATAAAGAAATGTCATTCCGATTCCTTATTCGTGTTTATTGACATTCAGATGTCGTATATTGAATGTGTGGGGTGGTTGCTAAATTCATAATTTTAAAAATGGACTAAAAGAAAACAATTAGTTTCTTGGAACACTGAGAACTTTTGATTAGCATGACCAAAACTGCCTCATTGCAAAGTTTCAGCCAATTTAACTGAAACACTTCTACATAAGTTAATAGCAAAACACCAGGAATATTTGCACTAATACGATAACCAATGAGGCTACGAGTTGTAACTTGTGCCACTTTTCAAAGAAACAATTTTAAACATTTTTTTGTAGTTGTGTGCCTTTTTAAAGTAATATTACTGGCACACTCTGTTATTCACACCGGAACAATGTACGCATTGTTCTGGTTTATTGTAATTGTATTAGATATATCTTGAGAATGTATTAAAGAAATGAAAAGTACCCGTTTAAGATTATTTTATTTGTTTCCTCATGTAAAAGACACCTCATATAAAAAAAGTTTTATTGACAAAAATTAAATAAAGAAATAAATTAAAAATAAATCTTCATTTGAAAAATTTCAGTGTTTTTTTAAATTTTTTTCTTAAGAAAAAATAATGTCACTACCCGTATGCGCGCCAATGACGAATATAAAACTCCTAATTTTATGTTAAAAAATGCACAATAACCAACTCCTAAAATCTACCCATAATAATTTCATTTGCATATCTCAACCAGTTTCAGAGCAATGAATAAATCGTTAGTTTGTAAGAAAAATTTTAACATCCCGTATCTCGGAAAACGAAGCATTTGCGGGCCTACGTTTATATAGAAAACTGTCATTATTTTCATTCAGAAACACTTCCTAAAGTTAGTTGCACGTATTTATTAAAACTCTGTATATTTTACAAATACGTAATATTTAAAAGGACTAAAAACCGACAGTTTGAACCTCTGTAACTCAGAAACAATTGATTTCTGAGTCTTGGTGCAATGATAACTTTTGATGACCAGAAGCAAAGGTTTTAGCCAATTTAACTAAAACTAGGCTTACCATAATTATGAAACTCTTAACCGGGACAATAAATGGTGGATAGGGTAAAGTATTAAAAAAAAACGATTAAGCTGCTACCAAAAAATTTTTATTAATAAAATACCTTTTTTTGTGCCATTTTGTACCATACCTATTTTTGTTTGTAGTAATTAAATCGTTTTGAATGGGATCATCATTTAAAAAAAAAATTTTTATAGAAGAAGTACTTATAATCGCCGTTACACCAGTCTTGTGTTTTGCACACTTTAAGGGATCTTTAATATCTGCTCGCCTACCGTGTGCAATTAAAAATTCTGAAAAACATTGCTAGCATTTCACCCTGCTATTGTCACTACAAAGCTTTTTTATAAAAGGATAATCTTTTTAAAGTTCGCATGTGAATTTGCAATTTCTTTTCGGCATTTTAAATCAAACAGCAATTAAATAAAACACAAAGTGTTTTCGTATTTTATCACCGTTCACAAGGGTAAAATGAGATCTGTTTTTTTTTAATTCATCAATTCTTGATTTTTTTAATGTTTATATTAGATAACGACTCACTAAAATAATGTGTTTAAGAAATGTGATGGATTGATAAATCCATCATCAGTGCAAACCTGAAAGTATATAACCACTTTAATTAAAAAGAACGTTAAATTAAAATGTTGACAAAGGTTAGAGCAAAATGTGGTTAATACTTACGGTTGTACATGCTAGTAGCCACCAAAACATATGGGTCAAAACCCTTTAAATGTTTTAAATTTGTAGTTGTTTTACATTATTAATAGTTATAATTTGTGATGTTTAAGTTACCGTTGGATAGGTAACATGGCGACGTATGACTCTACATGAGTAAAATGGTCCAGAGACGAAGTGTCTACGAGGACCTGTTGATAACAACTGATCAAAATGACATTGTTGACATGTTAGGACGGATGTTGTGTCAGAGCAGTCAGTGTAACTTACGGTAGTTGTCTAAAAATGACAGATGTCAGCCTTATTTAAAATTGAAAGAAGTTAAAATTATAATAATGTAACAGTATCAACCATCAATATTGTAATCTGTATTGTAAATTAATCAAATAGCTATATTTGAAACATTGAAGATTGGTTTTTTAAAAATTAATGTGGGCCAACTGAAATTTATGAAATTTTGTAGGATTGATAGGCAACCAACTATACATGTGTAAGGATCTATTTATTTTAAGCTAAAGATTTTGTCAAAAGGCCCTGTATGTTGTGAGACATTTGGTACCTAGAAAATGGTAAAAAGGCACATGTGGGAAGATGGGTCCTGACATAGAGGGCCTTCCATACTTAAGTTTTAAATTGAGTACTACACGAACACCAAATTATCAATCACATTCTTATCATATTTACATTTCAGCTCAACAACATATCTAAAAACACCTCCACCTACTACATCAATACTCAATAATAAATCTTTTAGGACCCATCTTCCCACATGTGCCTTTTTACCATTTTCTAGGTACCAAATGTCTCACAACATACAGGGCCTTTTGACAAAATCTTTAACTTAAAATAAATAGATCCTTACACATGTATAGTTGGTTGCCTATCAATCCTACAAAATTTCATAAATTCCAGTTGACCCACATTAATTTTTAAAAAACCAATCTTCAATGTTACAAATATAGCTATTTGATTAATTTACAATACAATTTACAATATTGATGGTTGATACTGTTACATTATTATAATTTTAAGTTCTTTCAATTTTAAATAAGGCTGACATTTGTCATTTTTAGACAACTACCGTAAGTTACACTGACTGCTCTCACACAACATCCGTCCTAACATGTCAACAATGTCATTTTGATAAGTTGTTATCAACAGGTTCTCGTAGACACTTCGTCTCAGGACCATTTTACTCATGTAGAGTCATACGCCGCCATGTTACCTATCCAACGGTAACTTAAACATCACAAATTATAACCATTAATAATGTAAAACAACTACAAATTTAAAACATTTAAAGGGTTTTGACCCATATAATTTGGTGGCTACTAGCATGTACAACCGTAAGTATTAACCACATTTTGCTCTAACCTTTGTCAACATTTTAATTTAACGTTCTTTTTAATTAAAGTGGTTATACACTTTCAGGTTTGCACTGATGATGGATTTATCAATCCGAAAACGTTTTGCAATGTGTTTGTGATAGCCCGTTTGGGACATTTTTTATATACCTTTTATAAAGGATTTTAAACAATTTTTTGTGATAGATATTATACAGCCAGCTACAGGAACTTAGTTTCCTCGTGGAATTCTATTAAAATATCTTATCAATCAGATGTGCAGTCATCATTATTAAAATTGTTTTTATAATTCGAACGTGAATAATCTTATTTATTATCAGTACATATAAATCCAGGAGGACAGTTTTGTTAAACCGGGACAAAATGACAAACCGGCCGGGACTCCGGGACCGATGTCTTAAACCGGGACAATCCCGGTTAAACCGGGACGTATGGTAAGCCTAACTAAAACAGCCTATTTTGCAGAAGAAAAAGGCCAGTGTCTTTTTTTTTTGTTACTTGGTAAAAAACTGTTCTAATAATTTAATTTTATCGGACTCATTCATAGTGGCAATTTAAATATAGATTATACATCTTAAAGTAAATGACTAAACTGATATTGTCAATATTTTTGAGTTGCGTTCCTGCAACGACTTTTTATTTCAAAAACGATTTCCGAAGTGGAAATCGAAGCGTCAAAATAAACTTTTTTTAAAGTAAAATTGTGGTTTATTTCCAATAAAAAATAGTAAAAAGTAAGTGATAATATTGTTATAATTATTGTTTTAAATATACAACCCACTTTTAATATAACTAATATTAGTGTTCTGTATTTTATTTCTCAATTTTTAGTAATTAGCATTAAAATTGTATCTTTTAGAACGCTACTAGATTTGAATTTGGCTGTAGTTGTGATACGTTTATACTGAATATAGTTTCACAGTTACCTAATATGTTTCAGCAATGTATTACTACATTTAATACTTATACGGTGTAAATTAAGCCAATTTACTTACTGAATTTTTGTAAATGCACTTTAGGTCCTATTCCTGATAACATCAATAATTGTGGACTATTAATTGTCCCAGCACTTACAATAACTTCCTTTTTAGCTGTTGCCTCATATAATACACCATTTTGCAAGTATTGAACTCCCGTTGCTATTTTATTTTTGATAATAATCTTTGTGGCCAAAGCTTTGGTCAGTACTTTTAGATTTTTTCGGTTTAAAAATGGTTTTATAAATGCAGTACCACTGTCCTGTCTCCTGCCAATTCTAGTGTTTATCTGGAAAGGCATAACACCAATTTGATCTGCGCCGTTTACATCACGAAGTTTATAGCCCATTTGTTCATTTGCTTCTAAGAATATCTAAAAAACCATAAATAAATATATTTTTCATTTTAATTTTAAAGATAATAGTTAGTTGATTACATATAATTATTAAGAAACATGGAGCTAGAACCAATAAACAAAGCAGCCTCAGTCAGTTAGAAACTATGGACTTGTATCACTAATAGACTTATATTTATAATATGTCTGAAGCTGACGTAAAACCACAGTATAAAGAGGTTCCACAGTAAAACCACTCGTCTGTCGGCGCTTTGATCTCAGGAAGTACTGCCGGCAAAGTACGAAATTGGTAATCCACCACCGTTAACCTTACAGAGCCGTATTAAAATTTTCTGAGCCTACTACTATTAATTTATTTAAATAAAAAATGCGGCTTCCCATATTTAACTGTCCAGATGTTATCACTAAATGTTAATATTACAAAAACAAAGGGTTTAATAAATTAAAAACAATATTATAATTCATTGTTTATATGTTTCAACGGTATTTTAAATATCAACGGTATTGCGCAAGTTTTAAAATCTCAATGGTTTTTAATATATTGTACATGTCATATAAACGTTAAATAAAAAGGAGGTTAATTTCAAAGCTCTCACGGCATTACTATACTCTGTTTTTAAACCAGGAGGAGTAATTCAAGTTTACCGCGTCATAACGCTTGTTTATAATTCGTCCAACGGCAGGCAAGTTTACTACACTGTTATGAAATTTTGTCCTTATTTACATTTCGTAGGTGAATTTGGTTATATCGGCGATTTTTTTTGTGTTTTCTGCATTACTCGTTTGGTTTTATTTGTAGTCTGCAAAAAATTAATTAAATTTTGCAATAGCCTTTTCGTCAAATCAATCGCGTATTTGGTTATTTTCCAACCATTAACATATTTTATTCTCGGTGTTACATTTTTAGCTTTTAAATTAATTACCTGTAAATTATTAACCAATCGGAAACACGTATTAAGAAATTCTTGCTAAGCATCGGTTCCTCTATACGGACTTTGGTACTCAGTTGCTCCTCTTAATGAAGAAGAATTGAGCATATCAAATAAATTATTAATGTTCCTAATAAATCTTTCGGTTGTTGTTGCTTCCTCGACGAATACAATAAATCTAATATACAGATGCAGACCGGCAGCAACAGTGTTACTAAATATCTGAGAAGCATATTTCAGTTTCATATTTTCAAAATTGTTAGGAGATATATGTGATTCGGTCAATTTTGGCGATGTACGAATAGGATATTGTTTATCATGTTCGTAAAATTTTTTAATAAATTTCCAAGAAACGATAATATCATCAATAACAAATTTTGTTTCTTAGGAAGTTATTACGAAGTGCTTTTGATAAATGAGGTGTATCAAAAGAAAAGACAATTTTATTATTTTCATGATAAAAATATGGTCTATCGGCAGATATATTTAACAAATTTGGAAGTTTAAGATTATTAATACCACTTCGAATTTTACTCATGTTCAACTTCACAATATTAACAATTATTCACAAAACTAACTCAGTTTAAGCAAAATACGGCACTGTTAACCCATACGTTTTTACGCGACTAGCAACGGAAGAATGGTTCTCGAGCGACTAAGAAATAAGCGCAGTCGCTCTGCGCGTTGACAGATTTTACTTCCAATTTTTCGGAGAGTGGTTCTACTGTGGAACCTCTTTATACTGTGGTAAAACTAACAAAAAATAGTAAGAAAACCTATGATGAACTAAGTACTGAAAAAAGTTCAAACTCTAAAATCTGTAAGTCTCAAAAGCAGGTGCTAAAAGCTATCAGGAAGACACATAATGTATATAAATATATGGCATACACAAAAGATCTTTCAGGTCACTTTGTGGAAAGGCTAGACCAAATAATCTCTATTTACTATTTTCAAAGTCACAATTTTAAACAATACTACAATTAATTTTTAAATGATCAGCCTCACAAAATTACAAACTTCCGCACTGCATGACTCTGCATGAACTTCGCCTGCAGTTTTTGTTTGGTGGAATAACTTAACAGACTGTTCCTGTTCCAAGCCTACCTTTAAAGAAAAGGGGATATACAACCAAGTTAGAAATCTACTGATAGACTTTAAACCCATACAGCTCGGATTATTACTCTGAACGGAAATTCAACAACGACGACCAACGCAAGAAAATGTACAACAAATTTATGGAAAGCGAGAAACACTTTGAATTGGTACTTGGGACGTAAAGTCTTTAAATGCAAGAGTATTTAAAGACTTTACAATCCATCCAGTTAATGGTTTCGTAGTATTTTTGTGATTGTGGTTCATTTAAGTTGATTTCCGGTGGCACTCGTTCCGGGTAGGCAAAAAAAAAACCATTCGGTTTAATCGCAGGGTCGATAACATCAAGCAAATTGGTAGATTGTATTGCTTAATAAAAAAGTTTTGTTAGTGACTTATTTTGAAACTAAACCACATTGGCATGTATGATATTAATATAAATAAAACTGATTCTTTAAGTTCTTCTGAAGGGTTTTCTTTACTTATGTACAATCCGAGAGTTCTATTTGCTTTTGTTAACCACCTCAAGTGTGATAACATGCACAGGATCTCATAGAGTCAAATATTCTTTACAGGTTCCTGATTTTATTGCCTTTGAAATATAAAGTAGGTATTGCTGATCTTTACTAAGCACGTTTCTGTCTATATGTGGGATCTGAAAATCAATTCTCTGGAGGTTAATTACCTGGTTTCTGTCAGCAAACTAACTTTTCACCTATTTGCCCTGTAGAAGCATTGGTGTTGAATCGTTTGGAGGAATATCAACTCGTTGAAATGTAGGAGGCAAATTGCCCATTGTAGAGGTTTGCTTGAGTAAAATTCAACTCAGAAAATCAGATCAAATCTCAAACCTGTATTGACAGCAATACCATCAGATCGTATGATAATAAGATTTTCAAGATAAATATTACGCCCAGGCAAGTAAGAAATTATAGACTTGACAACATCTTCAGAACTTCCAGAATTTGGAGTAGCATGGCCAATTATTCTACTTATTATTAGCGTGAAAAAATACTACGGATAGTAAATTTAAATACTAATTATTTATAAAATGCCAAAAATGAGTAAAAAGAGAAAATTTTCAATATTTTTATAAATTTTTGGGGCTCATGCGGGATCGGAAGATATAAACTGATCTAAACTAAAATGAAAACACAATGTTTATAGGCTCTATTTGGAAACAATTACTATTTTAATGGTAATTGCCACAATTAAACGTTAAACTAATTTTGACGTTTCAATTTCCACTTCGGAAACCGTTCTCAAAATACAAATATTAATAAATTTATTCAAACGTCAATAAACTCATTTTAATCTTTTACCACCTTACCACCTTACCACCTTACCACCTTTTACCAACTTAATTGTGGCTAATTCCCATTAAAATAGTAATTACTTTAAAGTGCCACAAGAAATAGCTTCATAATAATATTAAGAAACCTTTATGGACCCAGTGGTATTTAAAATTTTTGGAGATTAAAAATTCTTTACGGAAAACTGGCACATTGTCAAAATTCAATAAAATTTTTACGAAGATGTAGAGACTATTTATGTATACGCGTCGACTGCTAAAAGTTGGGAAGTATTTGAAATGTGGGTGTATAGAAGAATCCTGAAGATATTCTGGACCGAGAATGTAACAAACAACGAAGTCATGAGAAGAACCAACAAAAGAATGGAAGTATTGGAAACCATCAAGACACGAAAGCTGCAATACCTGGGGCATGTTATGCGTAATGAGAGATACAACCTACTTCAATTGATTATACAAGGGGAAATCCAGGCAAGAGAAGTGTAGGAAGAAGAAGAATCTCATGGTTGCGTAACTTGAGGGAATGGTACGGATGCACATCAGTTGAACTATTTAGAGCAGCAGCATCTAAGATCAAAATAGCCATGATGATTGCCAACCTCCGTCGCGGAGATGTCACGTGAAGAAGAAGAGACTATTTGGAGACGTTACAAACTACTACATTACGAAAAGATCTAATTCAAAGCTTCACAAAATAATCACAAAAATGATCTTTTTTTTCATATTTTGTCAAAATTTAAGGCCTATGAGCGATCGGAAGACGTTAACCGATTATAATAATTTGTTTTTCTTCTTGCTTGTGTATATAATTTGCAAGTTTTCCGCGCTATTACAACTTGGAAATAAAAAAAGTGTTTTTTTGGCTCACCCTAATATACGTACACCCATGTATGATACATAAATATTATGTAATAATATTAGGTATATTTGGCACACTAATTCTACTAGTCACACAATCAATGGGTAACAGAATATACTGGATATAGTAATACCCTTGCTTAACACTAAAGCTATTCCAATAAGCAGACTCGATTGTACTGCTAAAGAGCCGCAAGTGTACTACATTATTTATTGCCTTCTTCGGTATAACAATCGTTATTGGTACTACATTGAACTTTGTTTTTTGTATAAGTTAAATTTAAAATTTTACTGGAACTTTATATTTAAATTTATACATTTAATTATTATATTAAATTTAAAATTAAATTTAATTATATTAAATTTATACATTATATATTTAATTTAAAAAAATACAAACCTTAGTATGTTGCGTTCTAGGCATAGGTTGCTCTACCCACAATAACCCTGTTAAATTGTGATAAGCAAGGTCAATAGGAGCATTTGGATCTGTCCAATGGAGATGTTCAGTCTTTAAAAAATATGGCAATGACTCATTATAACACCATCCTTTGTTACCCATTGAACACCAAGTGTCAAAATCTAATTTGTTGCCTCTAACGTAAATTAGTGCGTTTAAAAGAGATGTGCCACCGACTCCTTTTCCTCTAATATGGGGACACCTGTTTTCTTCAAACCCTAAAAACTTAACCTCTAATACTGGTTCTAACACGTGAATCTAAATATTTACCTAAACAACTATTATTCTGTGGTACACTGTAATAACCCCAATTGAAGTCACTCATAATCATAGCCTTGTAACTCATTGCCGTCACATCCGTTATATTGTTGCCATAATTGCCTGCTTCCAGCACTAAAACTTTCCAGTTTGAAATTTCGGAGAGACGACTAGCTAACAAGGATCCAGTCGATCCTGATCCAACTACAATGAAGTCGTAAGAACCAGCATCTTAAAAAATAATTAAATTATACAAGACTTTACATCGGATTAAAATAAAAAAAAAAAAATAAAAAATCAAGTGCTTTGTTAGAGGCGGTCCGTCTGCCCGTCCTAGGATTAGTGCAGAAAAAATGCAATATATGCATAAATGATAACGCATTTGGATTTAGCATTCAAAATTAGGAAGGAGGATATTAAACCGTGCGTTAGGAAATAATTCCTACTGCTTAACCATGTTTAGTTCCCGTGATGCAATTAAAATAAATGGGTTTTTTTTTCTAAAATTGTACTTATTTCGATAAAAAGACGTGTAAAAATAATAAATAGTCGTTACTTTATTTTTAAATTTAGTCAATGTTTACAGATCCTATGGTTTTTAGGTTTCGTATAAATTTTAATTGAGCTTTACTTGATTTTTGCTGTTAGTTATGGTCATTTTTTATCACTCTTAAAATCAAATAAACCTTAGTACCATCTTGGAGCCATATATTACAGCATATATTAGTGGCAGGCGGTAAACTTTATGCATATCTACTAAATTTTCATTTTGTCTGTGTACACCAGCGACTTAGTTAAGTTTGCTATAGTAGCTTCATTTATATATTAATTTTTCTTATTGACGAACTCAAAACAATAGTTACTATAATCACCATAATTACTAAAACCTTGATGAAGATTGCTTCAACTCCTTTTTATTGCGATATTTTAAAATCTACCCATGCATACAAAAAACATTTTTTTATGATTTAGACTATTGATTGTGTGACTGTGTGTTGAGTAAATGGCTAAATGCCATGTTGGCTTTATCCTCTTTACAAATAATCGAAACAGTTAAAACGTTAAAAGGTCTGTGACATCGTGGTGACTACTCGTGTACTATTTTTTTACTTCCTCAACTTATTTATGAAGGTATTTATTTTTGAAAACAGTTGTTTTTACCTATCCCCCTCCTAAGTGGGGTTGGCGATCAATATGACAAATCTAATCTCTGATGTTTCGTAGCCAAGATTTTTTCTCTCGTCCTATATCCCTTTTACCTTCAAACTTGCCTTCTAATATTACCTGGAGCTGCTCAAATTCCCTATGGCGCATTATGTGTCTTAGATCTAAGGTCTTTTTAATTTTGATAGTATTGACCAAATGAGAGCGTGTGTTCATTACTCTCATTATTTCTTCATTCATAGTTCTACTGGTCCAGCTTATTCTTAACATTCGGCGGTACATCCACATTTCCTATAGATACAGATATATTTATTTGTAATTTATTACCGACATGAATTATTACGAAAAACAGCAGGAAAGGTTAAAAAATTAATGGTATGACGGACATTGCAAAGCTTTGTGCCCTCCAAAATGAATTGGCAGGACCCTGGTCTTCCTGGCCTCTCGGCATACGACCCCCAGCGCATACCACTTGCCCCTATGAGTCCGACACCAATTGGAGGCATCGTACCTGTGTTGCGGGTCACTCCACCCTTCCGTGAGTTCCCGCTTCCGGAGGCGGAAAGGCACGCAGGTATTGGAATACCACCCCGCACGTAGACAGGTCACCGCGGAGGAATCGCTCCACTATCACTCGTAAATCATTCCAAGGTGGGTACGTGCCGAGTCAATCCACACCACCCTCAGCGGTGTCGGCTTTGGGAAGTGCATATCTACCCGGCTCGTTAAACCTCACCTGGCTCTTGTGTAAAACGAAAGTAGAGTGGTCCCACGAGACGTTCGTCTCGGATACTAGGAATGTAGAGCGGTGACTGAGATGACTAAGCATCTCTGTGCGTTTCTACCAACCAGACACCTCAAACGACGGCTCTTCACGTCTTATATCCGCCCATTAGTCGCCTCTTACGACAAGCAGGGTCCTCTGGCCCCGGCCGTATTCTCATCTCCTCGGACCGGAAGGAGTGGTATGACGGACAGTGACGAAGTTGCCTATAACGAGTCCGATGCTGAATAATCACAGGAAGGAAATGAATCTGAGCCTTATTTCTAATAAGGATGAAGACGATATTCTAGAGAGCATAAGATTATCGTACATTGGAAAAAAATGAAACTCTGTTGGGGGTTATGAGGACTGGGTGGATTGAGTAGCTCAGAAGTCGCGTTTATGCCAATAGCCGGTCCAAGCCCTAATAAAAGACTAAGGTTAATGAGCCACGTTAGCATTCTACCCATTGTAAAAAAAAGGCTCAAAGAACCGATATAAAACCTCGGAATTAAACGGAACCTAAAACAAGAAGGAACAATAGGCCCATAGTCATATTAGCAACATGGAACATTACTTCTTTCAACAACAAAGATCAAGAGATAATAGAAAAACTGATAAATAAAAACATTTGTACAATCTAACAAACCAAGAAGAAAGGTAAAGGCCAAAGATACTATAAAAAATATTTTCTAGCATACAGTGGAGTAAAGAAAAAAGAACAAGGACGAGCAGTAGTGGGTGTACTTGTCCATAAAAAGTTTAAAGACAAAATAAATAACTGCCGTTATATCTCCGAAATAATAATACATGTAAACCCTTAATTCATCTGGGTAACTTTAATGCACGAATCGGAAATGAAATAGTTCCAGGAGTAAAATAAAGATTTAATGAAAACCATGTCAACGCAAATTGAGAACTCATTGCTAATCTCTGTGCTTCTAACGAACTGAGAAACAATAATACATTTTTCGACCATAAGCTCCAGTATAAACATACATTTGAAAATTCCAGGGGGCACAAATCTATGATTGATTTTATAGTCACTAATAGAAAAATACCCAAAGCAGATTCTAGCTATCCGAACTTTAAACTCAGCAGACGCAGGGAGTGAACACCAACTAGTACTAGCAAAAATAAGAAATAAAATAACACCAAAACATTTTGTATAGGAAATCATCGAGGAAAAATTTAATGTAGAATCACTGTGAAATGTCTGTACAAGAGAAATGTACCAAAGAAGGCTAGCACAAAAGACAAGAAAATTAAAAACAATATTGAAAAAGCAGCGACAGAAGCTCTAGGAATACGCAAAGTCATACTGAACAAAATAAACAATAACAATACACCATGGTTCAGAAAAGAAATAGGGGAAAAATGTAAAGAGAAACGAGAGGCCTACACGAAGTACAAAACATTAAATACTCCAGAATCCCGAGGCACCTATAGAAGAATATGAAATGAAACAAAGCAGTTGGTAAAAAGAACAAAAAATGAACACTGGGAACAGTTTACGAAAAAGATGAAAATCGATTTCTACGGTACACAAAAACAAATATGGAGATTTATAAGATACGATATGGAGATTTATGAGGTAGAAAGAAATGACAGAGTTAAAGGAATACAATAACATCCTAGAAATCGAATGGGAAAGACACCTGTCGGAACTGTTTAAAAGAAAGGAAAATAATAATCAACACAATAACGTACCTGAATTAAGACACGAAATAGAAATTAGCTTTCAGGAAGTAGAGATAGCCATAAATTCACTTAAAAATAGAAACTCACCAGGACCAGATGGAATAACCAACGAGCTTCTTTAATACGGAAAAGAAAGTATAACCCTAGAGATGACAAAACTTATATAAAAACTAGTATTGCACTGCAAGTTACCAGACGCATGCAGAAACAGAATAATAATACCAATAATCAAGAAAGGAGATAAAGTAGACCCCAACAATCATAGAGATATAAAGCTACTAAACACTGCACTTAAGCTTACCACAAAAGTCCTAACCAACAAAATCAATAAACTAACAACTGTATCAGATGAACACCAAGGATTGAGATCCGCAAGATCCTGCGTAGACGCCGTATTTGTACTAAGGCATATCACAGAAAAGCAAATTGAGTACAAAAAATCATCACATCTATGTTTTATGGACCTAACAAAGGCTTTCGATCGCATCCAAGTATAAGACGTCTTTCACACACACACACACACACACACACATTATATATATATATATATATATATATATATATAATATATATATAATATATATATATAATCAATAACCCTTCTACCCTAAGGTGTTGGGTGTAAAGTCTCTTTTAGTTTTCATGTACAAACTTCCTCCAATTCTTCTTGTTTCTTGCCAACTTCTTCGCTTGCTCCTTGGTGACTCCTCTCCTGTCTAGGATGGCGGCAATTTCATCGTCCCAGGTCTTCATGGGTCTGCCCCTCGGTCTTTTCAAGGTTCTTCTCGCTTCCCACACTTGTTTCACTTGGCTTTTTTTATCCATCCTTACCATGTGGCCGTACCATCTCAGTTGGGCTTCTTCGATTTTCTTCTCTATTGACTGGACTTTAAGGCGTTCTCTTATTTCATTGTTCCGTATCCTGTCCATTCTGGTCACCCCTAGTACTCTTCTTAGATACTTCATTGATATACTTTGCAGTTTACTTTTTAGTCTGGTGGTGAGCGTCCAGCTTTCACATCCAAATGTTAAGATAGGTACAAAAACTGTGTTGTAGATAGCTATCTTTGCTTTTTGGAATACTTCTTTTTTCGATAGGAATGTGCTCTTAATTGCGTGGTATATCCGGGAAGCGTTTGCTATTCGATTATTTATCTCTGCTTCTTGTGTACCGTTACTCTCTAGTTGCACTCCCAGGTATTTGAAGGTTTCTACTTGTTCTAAAGTATAGTTATTGATTTTAATGTTTGTATGTTGGTCTGTTTTCCCACATACCATCACTTTGGTTTTACTTTCATTAATTCTCAGATTGCGTTTCTCAAGTTTATCTCTCCATATTTGGAGGTTTCTCTTAAGTGCGTCCTCGTTTCTTCCAAATACGACGAGGTCATCTGCAAATGCGCACTCCGCAATCTGTATCATTTCCAGGTTTCTATGTCCAACAAATAATCTCAATGTTTCTTCTCTAGTTTCCTTCATTACATCATCTAGTACAATATTGAACAGGATGGGGCCTAGTACACCTCCTTGTCGTAAGCCATCATTGACTCCGTCTTTCACATACTGTATAAAAAACACGTAGCAATATATATTATATAAAGCA